CCCGTAGTCCCCATTGCCTGAGTTGCTCTGGATGCGTTCCCAGAATTAATTCCCTAGGCGCCATCCGCTTCGGCGCGCGCCCCGCCCATTGTGGGCGGAGCTTAGCTTACCTTGCGTGTGCCCTGAAAATGTTGGCCCATGCTACATCCACATCCATTAATCCAGATCATGATTCTTTCCCTAACAGTTATTTCCTACGTAGTCTCCAGGGGGTCACTCAGACAGAAACACATGTCAACTTCTGCTCTATAGATAGAGAGATACTACTCATCAGCACACATCATTAGTTTACAATTTTGGTCGAGCCGTATGACCCCCCTTTCTTTTATTTGGGGGGGGGGTGGTTCCTTCCTAATCGAGCTATTGAGTGGAGGGGTATATGGGGCACTCATGCAGCAAGGAACGAAAAAACAGTAACCTCTTCCAGAAAGTCAGAGGGAAACACGACTTCCCCCCTTTACAACATCCCTGAAACAAGAAAAATCAACTATCAATAAATTTTTTTCTTTGCCTATACGACCCCGCTCTCCCAGCGACCGAATGCGACCCCCTCTCTCAGCGACCAAATACGACCCCCCGTTGATAATACCAGTCACCGCGCGCGATGACCTAGTCACCCCAGCGTGGATCCCTGACACACCACCCCCTCTCAAGTCAGAGAGCTCTTTCAAAATGGTCTGTCTTACTTCAAGTGGTAAGCGAGTACAACTGGTGGAAAAGGAGCTGACGCTGCGTCAAGCCCAATCCCTTTCTACTGACACGCCCCCGCACGAGCAGCGAACAAGACTGAATATGAACCTGAACAGTGGAACTAGGTTCATTTTTCCGCACTCCTAAAACTGTCAAAGAAAAGGTGAATAGTGGGTCGATGCCCATCCCTTATGATGAAAAATCTTGCCATCCTGCAATTTTTGGTCTCCTATATTTCCATACCTTTTGCCTTTGAAGGAAACATGTCCAAGAACGAACAGATATTTTGTGCAAAAAGCACTCGAAGCTTTTATCGCCAAGTTCTTCATAAACTCGCAGAACGTCCTTCCTCCCTTTCTCGACGTGCCGAGGCCATAACAAACGAGTTGTATCAGGTTTATTGCACCTCTAATACATGAAAGAACAGAGAAGATAATGATTCTATGTCAAACAACGTGCTAACAGTTCTGGTAGCGAATTAGCGACTGTACTGTACGTGATGGTAGGCATGGTCCTGGATTCGGACTTGACGACCATGTGAGAGAAACCTGCCAATCTTCCTTTATCCTGCGTCCTTGTCCTTTTTGCCCGTCTCACTGTGCTATCGCCGGTCTTCATCTTGGTTGCTGCAATCTGTGAAAATACATCGAGTGGGCTTCCATCTGCACTATCCTTTACACCTCCATAACCGCCATAGATCCGATCCAGACTTCGAGGTTTTGTAGATGAATACCAAAACGTTCGTGTAGATTGAAGGATGGCTAAAAGAATAAAGTCTTTGCAACGATCAACCCTTTTATGGGATGCTGCACGTATTCACTTTCATTCCGAATTCCAATGGCTTACTGAACCTTATGTGGTCTATACAATAATAATTTGCGGTCGCTAGTCAATGATTCAAGAACAACTGTTCTTATCCTCCAGACGGATATGTAGCCAATTTATCACCGCGGAGAATGGTGAAGGCTTGTTGGCTGGGTCCGGACCCAGGTCGGAAAAGATCTGACTCCCGGAGCTGTTGCGTAGTATGGGTGCCATTTGTCATTACACCTCCTTCCCTTTTGAGATAACGCGGAAAATTTGCGAATGAAAGGATCTGAAAAAGGTTGAAGAACTCCTGCTCAGTTTATATTGTTTGACACTGCTGTTAACGAGCGCAGTACGCGATACGAAAGCTATCACAAGAATGCTGAGTTATGGGCAAAAGTCGGACAACGGACGGGATTCGAACCCGTCCGTGGTCCGACTTTGACATAGCCATTGAAGCTGAGTGGTCAAAAGTGGCCTCGGTAGCGTAATAGGGAACGCAACTGCCCGGTAAGCAGAAGATGCGGGTTCGAATCCCGTCCGTGGTCCGACTTTTGCCCATAACCTCAGCATTCTTGTGAATTAACTTCTGCTCAGTGACCTCGGGGAAGTTGTTCCAGTCGCAGCGACCGCACTCTGGATCTATGCCCTCATCAGATACGGTTCTCTAGTTTGGAAAAGAACAAGGCGACTGCACTTGGCCTAGGTTAAAATGCCCATTGTCGTCCAGGCGAAGGCGACTGTCAGTGGAAGTAGCGTCTTAGGGCTTTGAATCAAGACAGAATGATCACTCACCTGCGCGGATCCTGGTCTTTGCCGTGAGTGGGGAGAAAAGGACCGCAGCGCCAGTAGCCGGCTACTTCCTCCAATCAGAAATGCACGAGAATAATGCTAGAGGAATGATGTATGTGATCTCCATACCGCGCTGCACCACGACTGTTCAGACCGACCAAGGCCAAACGAGCTACCTGCTTGCCTCTCTCCACGCCGTGCTCCCCTTTGGTTGTTGTGTACCGCATACTAGGTGTTTCGCTGCGGATTGGTATAGACGCAGACGATACACCAGCGGAGTATGGGAACAGCATCCGTAGGCCACTACACCATAGCCCCGTGCACTTTTGAACGACCAAAGTTCACGCTACTTCAGTTGCGGACGCATTCGCCTCGTGCATGGCAAGGAGCGTCCACGCAAGTAGGTGTACGTCTTATCTTTGAAGACGAAGCTTCTGGCTAAGCTGTAGTTGGATGCAAGGCAAATAAAATGGTGGACTGATGGTTGTGGTGGATTGTGAACGAATGTGGGTGTGCACCGAACCGCTGTTATGGTGCCCTTTCTTGGAATGGGCGCCACGCAGAGCCTGCTCAGGGGCACGGTATTATTTTGTATTAAGCCTATTTACGTTGCACCCCCTGTCGATTTATGGTGCCACACTGCTTTAAATACAAACTGACGTTCCGCCAACACTCACCCTCTGGGATCCTAGTCCTTGACTGAGGAATGGGCCAGCGGACGCAATAGCGCGCTACTTTTTCGACTCAGAAGGGCACGACGAGGGGCTGAAGCGTGGTGATACACGGGGTTTCTTCATACTCCGCCCGCGCTGTTGCATGGCCAGCCACGCGCCCCACCACTTTTTGTCCCCCCTCAATTCTTTTTGTTCTCTACCTGTTTCGCTGCAAAACCTCGTTAACAAACGAGCTCTTCACCTACGATGTCTACGGAAAACTCGTCCGAAATTGCCATTAAGGACGAAGGTTTTTCTTCGCAGGTTTTTGACCGTTTCACTTCGTTTTTTCGCCATTTTCCCACTATATGCTGGCATTTTAGGCCAATTAACAAAATATCGTGCCAACTGCCTCTAAGGCCATGACGTAGTTTTTCCTCTTCTTAAAACTCAGGTGAATTCAAAGTGGGAATGGTTTACAACCGCTGGTCGAAACTGCGTTGAAATTGAACTTGGTTCAAAAAAAAGTTAGAAAAAATCACGAACTTTCAGGACACCAGAAAAATTCACGAACTTTCAGGACA